ACCAGTCAAACCCTTGTCCAGTACGTTAGTACCAAGTATGTATTACAGGAAGACACACGTAACAGGTATGTATTACAGGTAGACTCAACAGTCATCCCCGTGTCCAGTGCGTTAGTACCAGGTATGTATTCCAGGGAGACACACACCAGTCAAACCCTTGTCCAGTACGTTAGTACCAAGTATGTATTACAGGTAGACCCCCCAGTCAAACCCGTGTCCAGTACTGTAGTCCCAGGTATGTATTACAGGTGTACACACACCAGTCATACCTGTGTTCAGTACGTTAGTACCAGGTATGTGTTACAGTAATACCCATGTCCAGAACGCTAGTACCAGGTATGTATTACAGGTAGCCACACTGCAGTCATACCCGTGTCCAGTATGTTAGTACCAGGTATGTATTACAGACACACTGCAGTCATACCCGTGTCCAGTATGTTAGTACCAGGTATGTATTACAGGGAGACACACCAGTCAAACCCCTGTCCAGTACGTTAGTACCAGGTATGTATCACAGGTAGACACACCAGTCATACCCTTGTCCAGTATGTTAGCACCAGGTATGTATTACAGGTAGACACACACCAGTCATACCTGTGTCCAGTACGTTAGTACCAGGTATGTATTACAGGTAGACTCAACAGTCATACCCGTGTCCAGTACGTTAGTACCAGGTATTTATTACAGATAGACACATCAGTCATACCCTTGTCCAGTACAGTAGTACCAGGTGTGTATTACAGGTAGACACACCAGTCATACCCATGTCCAGTACGGTAGTACCAGGTATGTATTACAGGTTGACACACCAGTCAAGCCTGTGTCCAGTACGTTAGTACCAGGTATGTATTACAGGTAGTCACACCAGTCATACCTGTGTCCAGTACAGTAGTACCTGGTATGTATTACAGGTAGACTCACCAGTCATACCTGTGTCCAGTACGTTAGTACCAGGTATGTATTAGAGGTAGACACACCAGTCATACCTGTGTCCAGTACAGTAGTACCAGGTATGTATTACAGGTTGACACACCAGTCAAACCCGTGTCCAGTACGTTAGTACCAGGTATGTATTCCAGGTAGACACACCAGTCATACCTGTGTCCAGTACAGTAGTACCAGGTATGTATTACAGGTAGACTCACCAGTCATACCCGTGTCCAGTACGTTAGTACCAGGTATGTATTACCGATAGACAACAATAAAACAGTGTATGATGCTCATATCCATGTCCAGTACGGTAGTACCAGGCATGTATTACAGGTAGACACACTGCAATCATACCTGTGCCCAGTACGTAGTACCAGGTATGCATTACACGTAGACTCAGCAGTCATACCCGTGTCCAGTACGTTAGTGCCAGGTATGTATTACAGGTAGACACACACCTGCAGTCAAACCCGTGTCCAGTACGGTAGTACCAGGGATGTATTACAGGTAGACACACTGCAGTCATACCAATGTCCAGTACATTAGTACCAGGTATTTATTATCGGTAGACACACCAGTCAAACCCATGTCCACTACGTTAGTACCAGGTATGTATTACCGATAGACAACAATAAAACAGTGTATGATGCTCATATCCATGTCCAGTACGGTAGTACCAGGTATGTATTAAGGTATGTATTATAGGTAGACACACAAGTCATACCTGTGTCCAGTATGTTAGTACCAGGTATGTATTACAGACAGACAACAATAAAACAGTGTATGATGCTCATATCCATGTCCAGTACGGTAGTACCAGGCATGTATTACAGGTAGACACACTGCAGTCATACCTGTGTCCAGTACGTAGTACCAGGTATGTATTACAGGTTGACACACCAGTCAAACCCGTGTCCAGTACAGTAGTACCAGGTATGCATTACACGTAGACTCAGCAGTCATACCCGTGTCCAGTACGTTGGTACCAGGTATGTATTACAGATAGACAACAATAAAACCTGTGTCCAGTACGGTAGTACCAGGTATGTATTAAGGTATGTATTATAGGTAGACACACAAGTCATACCTGTGTCCAGTATGTTAGCACCAGGTATGTATTACAGGTAGACAGACTGCAGTCATACCTGTGTCCAGTACGTAGTACCAGGTATGTATTACAGGTAGACTCGCCAGTCATACCCGTGTCCAGTACGTTGGTACCAGGTATGTATTACAGATAGACAACAATAAAACCTGTGTCCAGTACGGTAGTACCAGGTATGTATTAAGGTATGTATTATAGGTAGACACACTACAGTCATACCCATATCCAGTACGGTAGTACCAGGCATGTATTACAGGTAGACACACTGCAGTCATACCTGTGTCCAGTACGTAGTACCAGGTATGTATTACAGGTTGACACACCAGTCAAACCCGTGTCCAGTTCGTTAGTACCAGGTATGTATTACAGTTAGACAACAATAAAACAGTGTATGATGCTCATATCCATGTCCAGTACGGTAGTACCAGGTATGTATTACAGGTAAACACACCAGTCAAACCCATGTCCAGTACGTTAGTACCAGGTATGTATTACAGATAGACAACAATAAAACAGTGTATGATGATGGCTGATCACAGCAAAGGTGCTGATGAGCTTCTCATACAGCTTAACCAATCAGGTCATTTGACAATACAAGGAATAAATACCTTCAGCAAATATCTGGAATATTGCAATTTTATCACAACATGAAATACCAACACAAGTTGTAATTTGCTAGTGACAGAAAATATAGCTCCAAGAACTTAAGAAGCAAAAAAATGGTTATTGTGTGAAATTTGCCAGCGACAGCAGACTTTAATTCTGTAATTTGCCAGCGACAGCAGACTCAAATTCTGTAATTTGCCAGCAATAGTAGACCTGAATTCTGTAATTTGCCAGCGATAGCAGACTCAAATTCTGTAATTTGCCAGCGATAGCAGACTCAAATTCTGTAATTTGCCAGCGATAGCACACTCAAATTCTGTAAGTTGCCAGCGATAGCACACTCAAATTCTGTAATTTGCCAGCAATAGTAGACTTGAATTCTGTAATATGCCAGCGATAGCAGACTCAAATTCTGTAATTTGCCAGCGACAGCTGACTCAAATTCTGTAATTTGCCAGTGACAACAGACTCAAATTGTGTAATTTGCCAGTGATAGTAGACTTGAATTTTATTATTTGCCAGTGATAATAGACTTGAATTCTATTATTTGCCGGTGATAGTAGACTTGAATTCTATTATTTGCCAGTGATAGTAGACTTGAATTCTAATATTTGCCAGTGATAGTAGACTTGAATTCTATTACTTGCCACTGATAGTAGACTTGAAATTTTATTATTTGCCAGTGATAGTAGACTTGAATTCTATTATTTGCCAGTGATAGTAGGCTTGAATTCTATTATTTGCCAGTGATAGTAGACTTGAATTCTATAATTTGCCAGTGATAGTAGACTTGAATTCTATTATTTGCCAATGATAGTAGACTTGAATTCTATTATTTGCCAGTGATAGTAGACTTCAGTTCTACTATTTGCCAGTGATAGTAGAATTGAGTTCTATTATTTGCCAGTGATAGTAGACTTGAATTCTATTATTTGCCAGTGATAGCAGACTTTAATTCTATTATTTGCCAGTGATAGTAGACTTGAATTCTATTATTTGCCAGTGATAGTAGACTTTAATTCTGTAAGTTGTCAGTGATAGTAGACTTAAACTCTATTATTAGCCAGTGATAGTAGACTTGAATTATGTAAATTGTCAGTGATAGTAGACTTGAATTCTATTATTTGCCAGTGATAGTAGACTTGAGTTCTATTATTTGCCAGTGATACTAGACTTGAGTTCTATTATTTGCCAGTGATAGTAGACTTGAATTCTATTTTTTGCCAGTGATAGTAGACTTGAATTCTGTAAGTTGTCAGTGATAGTAGACTTGAATTCTATTATTTGCCAGTGATAGTAGACTTGAATTCTATAATTTGCCAGTGATAGTAGACTTTAATTCTATTATTTGCCAATGATAGTAGACTTGAATTCTATTATTTGTCAGTGATAGTAGATTTGAGTTCTATTATTTGCCAGTGATAGTAGATTTGAGTTCTATTATTTGCCAGTGATAGTAGACTTGAGTTCTATTATTTGCCAGTGATAGTAGATTTGAGTTCTATTATTTGCCAGTGATAGTAGACTCGAATTCTATTATTTGCCAGTGATTGTAGATTTGAGTTTTATTATTTGCCAGTGAAAGTAGACTTTAGTTATATTATTTGCCAGTGATAGCAGACTTGAATTCTATTATTTGTCAGTGATAGTAGACTTGAATTCTATTATTTGCCAGTGATAGTAGATTTGAGTTTTATTATTTGCCAGTGAAAGTAGACTTTAATTATATTATTTGCCAGTGATAGTAGACTTGAATTCTATTATTTGCCAGTGAAAGTAGACTTTAATTCTATTATTTTCCAGTGATAGTAGACTTGAATTCTATTATTTGCCAGTGATAGTAGACTTGAATTCTATTATTTGCCAGTGATAGTAGACTTGAATTATATTATTTGCCAGTGATAGTAGACTTGAATTCTATTATTTGGCAGTGATAGTAGACTAGAATTCTATTATTTGCCAGTGATAGTAGACTTTAATTCTATTATTTGCCAATGATAGCATGTGGCTTGAAGAAGACATGGCACTATAATTTTGCCCATTTTAAAAGACAAGAATTCTGTAATTAGTCTTCAGTACAAGGCACTGAGCCTTTCATTTGCCAACAGTACAAGGGACTGATCCTAAATTTTTGCCAATAGAAGAGGAAAGGCCTGGATGTTGTAATTTTTCACCAGCAGACTTAGCCAGGGATCCTGTCACTGTTGGTGTTGTGAACATAACGACTGTGTGAGTCAGGCATCTATGATGGACATGCTACTTGATTCTAAGCAACAGAAAAAAAGACTCTTCTGAAAAGAAGATGCTTAAATGTCATAGCAGGGTATGACCTAAGTCTAAGGAACCTGTCATCACTTACCTGCCAGTTTGTTGTTCTGTGTTGAGTTTTGACAGGTTGTCTGGGACGTTTTGTTGTGAGCATTGTGTGGACTGGTGGTGGTGGTAGTGGTGGTGGTGGTGGTGGCGGCACTGCCTCTCGTCCTGAAAAGTCACACAGTAACACATGTTATACAACATCAGACAGATGGTTCATGACACAGTGCCGTCTAATTATGTATCTATATTCCAAGTGTGAAGGCCACACATATACAGTGATCGAAATATTATCTTCGTTAAACCTGTATGTCGATACTTGATGCCAAGGTCAAAGGTCAAATGCGGTTGCGGTCTTCCCGTTTTTGTATTCAACACATTACTTTCTAAACATTAACTTATACACCATGTCTGAAGTCTTTACAAGAGGAAGAGGCTAAGATATGCTCTGTAAACCTGTATTTTGTTACTTGAGGTCAAGGTCAAGGGTCGAGTGGAGGTCATGCTTTTCCAATTTTGGTACCAACACAGTAACTTCACATTATATACCTATAGTCAGAAGTCATTAGTAGATGAAGGTCAACTGTCATAAAGAGGTCATACTGTTCCGATTCTGGTACTGACACAGCAACTTCAATTATATTATATTCTGAAGTTGTAAGCACATGAAATAATGGCTGAGACTTGTTCTGGTGACTGGTACTTCATTATACAATTGTTTCATGGCTTTTTGGGGAACAGTCAAAACTATCATCCCGAGGTAGGGGGAAGCCCTGTGGAAGTGTTTGCCCGAGGCCGCTAGGGCAAACAACGTTTGTTGAAATTGTTTTTTTTTGTTTACGAGAAGTTTTTTTCGGACAGGTCTTTATCCGCGGACCAACAAGCAAACAGACAGACAGGTAAACTTTGCTGCAGCGAGTGGGGTTCTTTTGTCAGTTAGAATACATGAAGTTGAAATGTTTTTGGTCCCCTTTCCCTTGGAGAGCCCTTACCTCTCTGCTCCCTATGAAAACCACACCTTTCAATTATACAATGTACACTTTGCCAAGAGATGTTCCATGGAAATAACGTCAAAATCTTGTGACCTAATAAACTATTGACAATGAAGAAGGGCCGATTTGATCTTAAATAATGCTATAAATAGTTCATTAGACTCATAAATAGTCAGAGTTGATAACAACACGTAGATACACATACTACTTAAAATACTGCAAATAAAACCTATAAGGCTCCATGGTTATTGATTACATATCTTAATGTCACAAAATCTATCATCAAGAGCTATTTCTATCGATTTAATAACTTCTTAAGAATTTTAGCAAGAACAATGCAAACATTTATTTTAAAAATTGACGTGACCGACATTTTAAGTACAGATCTATCATATAGCACAAGTTATTATTGCCTAGAGACGTCATATGTAAGTCTAAACCCTTCTGTTATGTACCAGTTTATAACACTGTGATACATAAACCGCAGCAAAAATAACATTTGTGCTAATTAAAAGTTTCATCTCCAGCATAAAAATGTGTGCTATTTTTGATGGAACTGTATCAACCCTAAATATACATATAGGATACTATATCTAAATATTTAATACTTGCTAGGTGATATACATCTATATTGTTAGTATGTTTTCCAAAATGATACAATTATGACATGTTTAAAAATTTGTCGTGAGGGAACTTCAACTGTGTGGGAAGTTTTACTTAACATGAAAACTTTTACTGTGTTAGAAGTTTTACTATGTGGGTAGTTTTATAACATGTGATCTTTTACTGTGTTAGAAGTTTTACTAAGTGGTTAGTTTTATAACATGTGATCTTTTACTGTGTTAGAAGTTTTACTTAGTGGGTAGTTTTATAACATGTGATCTTTTACTGTGTTAGAAGTTTTACTTAGTGGGTAGTTTTATAACATGTGATCTTCTACTGTGTTAGAAGTTTTACTAAGTGGGTAGTTTTATAACATGTGATCTTTTACTGTGTTAGAAGTTTTACTATGTGGGTAGTTTTATAACATGTGATCTTTTACTTTGTTAGAAGTTTTACTTGTGGGAACTTTTACCCACTGGAAAGTTCTACTTGTGGGAACTTTTACCCCATGGAAAGTTTTACCGTTTGGGAACTTTTACCCCATGGAAAGTTTTACCGTTTGGGAACTTTTACCCCATGGAAAGTTTTACTGTTTGGGAACTATGGAAACCTTTATCATTTGAAAATTTATCATTGTTATTAGAAATTATAACCAAGCAGATATTAATTACCATGTGGAAACTTCTCATACTAGCTGGGATGGAATCCAAACTTTACATATTGTTTATTGTGTTAATAAACTTCGATATTTGTATATCAAAGCTATGTGCAATGAGAACTGCTTTATATACCAGCTGTCAACAACAACAGTCCTGTCTACAGTGACCATCTGTGATCAGGATATATCATAATAACATTCCATATAGAACTATAGAACTGTCTACAACAACCGTCCTGTCTACAGTTACCATCTGTGATCAGCATTTATCATAATAACATTCCATATAGAACTATAGAACTGTCTACAACAACTGTCCTGTCTACAGTTACCATCTGTGATCAGCATTTATCATAATAACATTCCATATAGAACTATTCCTGTCTACAGTGATCATCTGTGATCAGGATATATCATATTAACATGCCATATAAAAATATAGAACTGTCTACAACAACTGTCCTGGCTACAGTGACCATCTGTGATCAGGATATATCATAATCACATTCCATATAGAACTATATACCTGTCTACAACAACTGTCCTGTCTACAGTAACCATCTGTGATCAGAAAATATCATAATAACATTCCATATAGAACTATTCCTGTCTACAGTGATCATCTGTGATCAGGATATATCATAATAACATGCCATATAGAACTATATAACTGTCAACAACAACTGTCCTGTCTACAGTGATCATCTGTGATCAGGATATATCATAATAACATGCCATATAAAAATATAGAACTGTCTACAACAACTGTCCTGTCTACAGTGACCATCTGTGATCAGAAAATATCATAATAACATTCCATATAGAACTATATAACTGTCTACAACAACTGTCCTGTCTACAGTGACCATCTGTGATCAGGATATATCATAATAACATTCCATATAGAACTATATAACTGTCTACAACAACTGTCCTGTCTACAGTGACCATCTGTGATCAGGATATATCATAATAACATTCCATATAGAACTATATAACTGTCTACAACAACTGTCCTGTCTACAGTGACCATCTGTGATCAGGATATATCATAATAACATTCCATATAGAACTATATAACTGTCTACAACAACTGTCCTGTCTACAGTGACCATCTGTGATCAGGATATATCATAATAACATTCCATATAGAACTATATAACTGTCTACAACAACTGTCCTGTCTACAGTGACCATCTGTGATCAGGATATATCATAATAACATTCCATATAGAACTATATAACTGTCTACAACAACTGTCCTGTCTACAGTGACCATCTGTGATCAGGATATATCATAATAACATTCCATATAGAACTATATAACTGTCTACAACAACTGTCCTGTCTACAGTGACCATCTGTGATCAGGATATATCATAATAACATTCCATATAGAACTATATAACTGTCTACAACAACTGTCCTGTCTACAGTGACCATCTGTGATCAGGATATATCATAATAACATTCCATATAGAACTATATAACTGTCTACAACAACTGTCCTGTCTACAGTGACCATCTGTGATCAGGATATATCATAATAACATTCCATATAGAACTATATAACTGTCTACAACAACTGTCCTGTCTACAGTGACCATCTGTGATCAGGATATATCATAATAACATTCCATATAGAACTATATAACTGTCTACAACAACTGTCCTGTCTACAGTGACCATCTGTGATCAGGATATATCATAATAACATTCCATATAGAACTATATAACTGTCTACAACAACTGTCCTGTCTACAGTGACCATCTGTGATCAGGATATATCATAATAACATTCCATATAGAACTATATAACTGTCTACAACAACTGTCCTGTCTACAGTGACCATCTGTGATCAGGATATATCATAATAACATTCCATATAGAACTATATAACTGTCTACAACAACTGTCCTGTCTACAGTGACCATCTGTGATCAGGATATATCATAATAACATTCCATATAGAACTATATAACTGTCTACAACAACTGTCCTGTCTACAGTGACCATCTGTGATCAGGATATATCATAATAACATTCCATATAGAACTATAGAACTGTCTACAACAACTGTCCTGTCTACAGTGACCATCTGTGATCAGGATATATCATAATAACATTCCATATAGAACTATATAACTGTCTTCAACAACCGTCCTGTCTACAGTGATCATCTGTGATCAGGATATATCATTTGTCGTTACGTGGATCTTTAGCCTGTGTCGTAACATGGATCTTTAGCCTGTGTCGTTACATGGATCTTTAGCCTTTGTCGTTATGTGGATCTTTAGCCTGTGTCGTTACATGGATCTTTTAAACTGTGTCGTTACGCGGATTATTAGCCTGTGTCGTAACGTGGATCTTTAGCCTGTGTCAATACATGGATCTTTTGCCTCTGTGGTTATGTGAGAGAAGTATTGATTGATCTAATCAAAGTGTCAGTATGAGAATTTTTCTATTTTAAAAATGAATCGAATGCCTTTGACATTTCAGCAACAATATATAGGCCCAACTGTGTAATACAAAGGGGGTTGGGTGGGACTGTCGTGTAAAGCCTTGCCAAGGTATTAGTGGGGCTGGTGTGTATTGCCTTGCCAAGGTATATGTGGGGCTGGTGTGTATAGCCTTGCCAAGGTATATGTGGGGCTGGTGTGTATAGCCTTGACCAGGTATAAGTGGGGCTGCCGTGTATAGCCTTGACCAGGTATAAGTGGGGCTAGTGTGTATAGCCTTGACCAGGTATTAGTGGGTCTGCTGTGTATAGCCTTGCCAAGGTATAAGTGGGGTTGGTGTGTATAGCCTTGCCAAGGTATAAGTGGGGCTGCCGTGTAAAGCCTTGCCAAGGTATTAGTGGGGCTGCCGTGTATAGCCTTGCCAAGGTATAAGTGGGGCTAGTGTGTATAGCCTT